CTCTTCTTTATTTAGTCCTTCCCTTTCTTTTTTTCAAATAAAAGTAGACTAGGTAATCTTTCTTGTGCCTTCCTCTTGATTCCATGTACATCATCTATTTCAGTGATAGTAGTTTATGATATCCATAATAAGAAGTGTTTTCCTTTCACTCCTTTTCTTACTCTTTGTCTCTTCTAAGATCCACTGTGTTTAATTTCCAGGAATGGCAATTCCAGAAGTGTTTTTGATGCTTGTTTGAGGTTCCAATCCTATTGTTTCTCTCTCTCTTTCTCTCTCTCTCTCTCTCTCTCTCTCTCTCTCTCTCTCTCTCTCTCTCTCTCTCTCTCTCTTTCTCTCTCTCCCCATATCAACATTCATTTTGGTATTATGCTACCTTCCCTCTGTACTTATGAATTCCATTCTATTCTCTGAGTTATGCCTTTCTGGATTCTCTCCAAGTTGAAGTTACCTAGGTAATTTCTTCTACTCTTGTGGGAGTTAGAAAATGTCATGACCCATTTTGTAGAAGTTGATTTCCTATGCCCATCAAATGGGGAATGGCTGAACAAGTTGTGGCATATGAATGTAATGGAATACTATTGTGCTGTAAGAAATGATGAGCAGGCAGACTTTCAGAAAAACCTGGAAAGACATGTATGGTCTGATGTTGAGTGAACTGAGCAGAACCAGGAGAATGTTGTACACAGTAACAGCCATGTTCTGTGATGACTAATATTGATAGACTTAGCCCTTCTCAGCAATGCAAGGATCTAAGGCATCTCCAAAGGCCTCATGATGGAAAAGGCTATCCACATCTAAAGAAAGAACTATGGAGTTTGAATGCAGATCGAAGCATATTATTTGCTATTTTTTCCTTCTGTTGTGTTTCATTTCCTCTTTCTGGTGGTTCCTCCTATTGGTTCTAATTACTACTTACAACATCACTAACATGAAAATATGTTTAATATGAATGCATATGTACAGCCTATATCAGATCGCATGCTGTCTTGGGGAGGGAGATGGAGAGGAAGGAAGAGAAGAAAAAAGTTGATTTCTTGAAGTTCCCAACCTAACCCCACCTCCTCTCCAGGATATAATTGGAGGGGAGGATATACTTGCAAGATCCCTTCTTCACTTCCTCTGCTATTCTAGAGTGTTGGCTTTCTGATCTTACTGAATTATGCTAGAATATATTTTTTACAAAAGGGGATATTTTAGCTATTGTTATTATTATTACTAATAGTAGTAGTACTGAACACAAAATAACTACTCAGAGCTATATATTACACCTCTGTCTAGTTCTGTCTTTCATGCATAGTTTGGGACTGTGGCTAACTCCTTTTTACTTTTGAGGGTGAGGAAGATGATTGGGCAGGGTCAAATACATCACCTGAACTTGATGCACTGAGGTAATGTAGACACCTCTCAAGGGGAATCCAAGGCTTAGTAGATTTCTGTCCAAACTCAGAGTATCATTCTATTCTGTCTGTACAGGTGTTAGTGATGAGGATGGGATCTAGACCCCAAAAAGGAAAAACCCTGGACTTTCCCACATGGCCAAATCTCTGGCATTCACCTGAGGCTATAATCCCAACAACTGGCCTTTCATTGTGGCTACACCCAATCTCCCAATTCTGTTACCTTTAACCTAGCCTTGCTCTCCCTATGGCCCATGGACATTTTCCACCCTTAATCCTAGCTAGGCTCAATTGTCCAGGTCCCAGGAGTCCTGTTCACCCCAGTTTACTGGCCACTCCAATTCAGATCTTCCTTAGACCCCTCCTCCTGTCTCTTCAAACTACTTGGCCACTCCTACATCCCTCCCACAGTCTTTCTGTATATAAGGTCCATCTTGTTTCCATTAAGGTGCTCAGATTCCTAAAATCTAGTCACTGCTCTGATTCTTAGAATCTAGCCAATACCTCACAGACTTTCAGATTCCTCAAGGGTCTGGCTAATATGGCAGATCTTTAATAAACCTTGTCTTTGACTGAAAGAAGGCTTGAGCTGAATTCCTTTGGACAGGACTCGTGTGTTGTGATTTTGGGATTCCAGCACCCCTCACCTCTAAACCTCATCATTAGCATTTTAGACAAGCCACTACTCTAGTAATGACAATGCATTGGCTATCGGTGAAGTGTAGAAGAGTAGCAGCTGCCCATCCAAGAGGCTCAGTTGATTGGAGAGCCCATATTGGTGGTGTCAGTCTCACGCTTCCCCCCCCCCCCAATTTCCAATCATCCATTTTCTGGGCTCTTTTCACGTACAAACATGATGCTCTCTACCTTTTTACAAATTTTCTTCCATACCTTGAACACTGTAAACACTCATCTCCATCTCTTTGCTTTCTTTCAAAACTCACTTCAAATTTGACATCTGCAAGTTGTCTTTCCCAGTCATTCCTACTTTAAATGTCTTCTCTCTAAGATAACCCTCTATTTATGCAGTTTATACCTTTTATTGTACTACTTTTTGAATGTTGTCTCCCTTATTAGAAGTGAGCTACCAGAGAGCAGGGACTGTGGTTTGACAATGGACCCACCTGGGATAACTGAAAAAGCAGTGTTGTTCTAGTTCTCTGATCAAAATCCTTTTACTTGGGCAAGGGAAATGCAGTTAATGTAAACAGAAAGAAAAGGGCTAGTCATGATCAGATGCAAGAAGTGAATCACTCTTCTCTATTAGTATTCTTACAGTGGGACTAAGTGGATGGTTCAGTAGAATAACTTTATGCTTCAAGAAGGTATAAATCTATGTGGACATTTTTCCATCTAAAGAATAAGGCATGGCAGAAAGCATTTGGATAAATGAGTGCATAGGAAGAAAAAAAGTAATATAGTGGGAGTAATGCAGATTTTCCAGAAAGAGGAAATGTAAGATAAGTTCCTGATGCCTTTTAGAAAGCTGGAGTTTAGAGAAGATATAATTGTAATATGGCTCTTCAATTAGATGAACATCTTTTGGAAAGCTCTCTCTCTTAATAGATGAGTAGCTAATAAGTTCTTGAATTGAAATGGTAATTTTGTTTTTCAAAAGGTAAAGTAGGAGAGGGGAGGAGGTTGTTTAGAGGACTGTGATGCTGGTCCTGATTAGAATGAATCAGGAGGAATAGGATTAACAGGAATAGCACTAACATAAAAATCCCATTTTCTAATGTTCATTTTCCTTTCTTTTCCCCAGCCTACTTCCCTTCATCTGGATGGACTCTAGTTTGTCTATGCCTTTCCTAAAATGTGGCACAAAGGACTGAACATAGAGTTTGTCGAATACAGTGGGGACCTTCATCTGTCCTGTTCTGTACGTCATACCCCACAGTGTAGAGTAGGGTAGCATTAAATTTTTTTTGGCTGCCATGTCTCACTATTGACTGTCATTGTTGAAGGCATTATCTGTTAAAACATACCATATTTCACCCTTATTTTATTATAATACAGAGACATTGCTTAGAGGCTTACAAACTCAGAACACTTGAAGGAAAGTGAATATTATAGCTAGGCCTGAGTGTTGAATATATTTGGAAGGGGGAAAGGTGGAAGAGAAAAGAACAAATACCTACTATATTCCATGCACCAAGTGCCAAGTGCTTTCTAAATATTAGCTCATTTGATCCTCACTCAACCCTGGGAGTCAGCTGCTATTATTATTATTCCCAGTGTGTAGTTGAGGAAAGTTCTGAAAAGAGGTTAAGTGACTTTCCCAGAGCCAAGCAGTTAATAAGTATCTGAAACCATGAACACAGGTCCTCCTAATTTCAGACACAACACTCTATCCCCTGAACCACTTAGCTGCCTCAAGAGTGACATGACGTAAAGGGAAGAAAAGTGAGGTTAGAACTAGATTGTGTAGGGTTTGAAAGACACTGTAAGGGAAGATGGGGATTTAGAGTTGTTTAAGCAAAATAAATGCACAAACTAAGGGTTGACCTAAGAATGGAACCACATTTGCATATTGGGTGGTAGAAAAAATACTGAATGTCTTGAAGAACATATAATAAAACATATTTCCTCCTTCATAGCAGATAAATGGGGGAAAATCTAGGACAAAGTACTGTATACATTGTCAGACATTGTTCCTGCATAGAATTTTTTTCTTTGTCACTCAGGTGGGAAATGAGTGATATACAAAGACAAAAGGCTTTTATTATACTTTGGGGATAAGGAAGAGCATTGTACCAATGATTTCATTTATATACTGACATCATACATGAGGAAATTTCTTCTACCGATCCAGGGAACTAACGTCTCTCCAACTTCGAGAGTTGCCTAGACATTGAGAAGTTGGGTGAGGTGACTAGGGTGATGCAGCCAATATGAGGAGTCTCACTTTAAGAAAACATATAAAAATAAACTATATTACACTTTTCATAATTATTTCATTAGATGGTCTAAGAAACCTGTAAAATACCTAGGACACATATTGTCTTCATGTTATGGAGAAGGCAATTGATGTTTAAAAAGGTCTAGTGACCAGTTCAAGGTCATGTAACAAATAGGTAAGTAGATGAGCTAAAACTTGAATCCTGGACTTCTGATTCCAAATTAAGTGATGTAGAATCAATATCACAAACTCTCACTGGTGTCTGGTTATACATTTAGTTGCCAATCCACCAATGGCCAGAAAAAAAGATAGGTGAGAGAACATTCTTTTGACCTATGATCTAACCCCATGAGATGATCATGTGAAGAAGCTACTCTGCATAATGACGGTTCATGCTTCCCTGATGATTAGGAACATCCTATTGTCTCAGAAAGGAAAGACTGGTTGAATCCAGTGGAGGAACCAAGTAAGTCATTTATTCTAATAAGATTCCTAGTGACACTTAGTCAACAATTACTAAGCTGCACAATTTCCTAAAATTGTAGAACCCATGGAATAAACAAGAACAAGGAACAATGCTTCTCCAGGGGCTCAATTTCACCTAGTGAGGTAGGACAGGTATATAAAGATCTCGAAGAGGAGGCATTCTCAGACTCTTGGAAACTTCCCTCGGCTACTCCCCAGAAACCTCACCCACCAAGACCATGGTGAGCTCCTGCTGCTGTGCTCCCACCTGCTGCTGTGCTCCCTCCTGCTGCCAGCCAACATGCTGCAAGACGGTGTGCTGCAGAACAACCTGTTGCAAGCCATCTTGCTGCATGTCCACCTGCTGCCAGCCCTCATGTTGCCAACCTACCTGCTGCAGAACAGTTTGTTGCCGAACAACTTCTTGTGCACCGACCTGCTGTGTGCCCAGCTGCTGCCAACCTTGCTGCCAGCCATGCTGCTGTGACTCTAGCTGCTGCCAGCCTTCGTGCTATCAACCAGCTTGCTGCAGAATATGCTGTTGCCAGACCTCCTGCTGCAGGCCTGCCTGTTGTGGCTCCAGCTGCTGCCATCCTTCCTGCTGTTGATCAACTGGTTTTCCAAAAAGTGCAGTGATTCTACTTAGAGGCAGCCTTCTTCCAACTCCATGTTTTTGTTGTCAATCACTCCCCCCCGACCAGTTTTCTCTCCTGCATCTTGCTAATGAAAGTGTTAGACTCTTGTATGCAATATCATCCACTTCCATCTAGTGAGGTTCTGTCACATTATGTGATGACTTCGTTGAAGTTATTAGTTCCATGTCCACTGGCTGCAAAGGGACTTAAATCCATCTTATTGTTACAGGTGGCCAAAGTTCTGGCTCTCCATAGCTGTCTTTTCATCTGACTCTTTTTTCAGATCAAAAGTTTTTGAAAGAGAAAAAGTTAGTCTTTTGTGATCACAATCAGACCAATTGCATCCTGAGGTTTAATTCTTTGTAACCACTCAGTTTTTCTTCCTTTTAATAAAGCTTCTAATTTATTATCATCATATTTCTTCTCTGCTTTCACTTTCTTTCTCTGAATATTCTTAGATGTTCTCATAGGACCAACATAATTTCCTTGCTTGTTTCTTAATAAACTCTATTCATCTGAATAAACTTCCTTGTCCTTGTAAATGTGTGAAGTACAGATGTTAATGATGATGGTGGTGATAATGCAGGTGATACAAATCCATCATTCATAAATCAACCAAAGATTCAAGTTCTTTGCTCACTAAGAGTAATGGATTTGTGTCGATCTCTTTACACCTTTGGAACCAATGGTAGGTAAATGGGAGATGAATGAAACTTATATCCTGGCTCTGTTAAGTATTGTCTTTGTGATTATAGGCAAGATGACCTTTCTAGGCCTCACTTTTCCTCATTTGCAAAACTAGGGTGCTGGTTTAGAGGACCTCTAGGTTCTTTTCTAGGTCCAAATCTATGATCCTGTGATACTATGAAAGTGGAAGTCAGTCAACAAGCACTTATAAAGGTGTTACTATGTGCAGTCACTGTGATACCCTCTGGGGATGCAAGGAAAGATAAAAAATACTTCCATCCTAGAAGAATTTACATTATTGTGGTGGAGACAACATGTAAATTACCTGTTATATACAATACACTCATATATGTGTTCATATATACATTTATTTATATGTGCATATTATGTAATATATATGTGAAGAGAAGCATAGAGAGACAGAGACAGAGTTACAGAGGGACAGAAAGAGATACAGCAGAGATAGACATAGCCACAGAGAGATTGAAATAGAGACAATGACATTAAGTGCACACAGAGAGACTGAGAGACAGATACAGAGAGACACAGGGAGAGACAAGAAGAAACATAGACTAAAAAGAATGATAGATAAAAAGAGGGGCAGGCAAAGACAGAGATAGAGAGGGACCACTCAACAGGGAGAGACAAAAAGATATCATGACAGGGAGAAATAGATACAGATTCATAGAGACACAGAGATAGACTGAGACAGAGAGACAGATTGACAGAGCAAAATCAGGGACGTAGATTCTATATTCCTATAAGGACACTCATGAATAGGAGTATCCCATTAATGAAAGTATTAGAAACAGAAACTGGGCACCCACCTGCTAGGAAGGTTGTGGCATGAGGCTGTCCTGTCAGGAGCAAGGGTATTATCTTAGATTACTTTTATGGTCCTTTCCAACTTCACATTTTATGATTCTTTGATTCTGTGGCTTGAAGATGGAGTCAATTTTTGAGCACCCTGGCTTCTGCTTCTACTGTAACCATGAAGATAAAGTGACAAGGGAGGATCAGTAATCCCTAGAAGAAGGGTGACTTCCCGAAATAACACCTTAGTTGCTGGCTCCCAATCTCATATTCTCTATGCCATAGTCTATCATAAGAGTTGAGACTTTTTCTCCAGCTCTAATGCCTTAAAACAAATAGAATAGGAATATTTTGAGTTGGAATACCTTTGCACAACTTGCTTCAATGCAGGTTGGTTAAACCGAGTCCCTTTCTTCATAAGAAGAAAAGGAGACATAGAACCAGAAATGCTAAAAAGACTGATGAGTCTATATGTGCAACATTTGAAACCAAAAGGATTCTAGTAATTCTTGCTTTTATGCTTAGCTTGGTTACTTATATAGAGGCAGTGTAGTGTAATATTTAGAACACTGACTTTGGAGTTAGAAAGACTTTTGCAATATTATTGGCTCTTTGACTCTGGATAAGTTGTTTAAAACCTCACTGCCTTGGTTACAAAGCAGTTGCCAATCTGCACTGGTAGAGGAAGAGAGAGTTCTGCAAAAGGGAAATTTCTAAACTAATGAAATTATGGCTCTCTCCTAGACCTTCCTCAAAAAACATATCTGTGAATGTTCTATTCAAAGATGCATTGGTCTGCCTGCCCTGTATTAATACATTTGTAAAAGGTTCTAGTTCTCTTAATACAAAAAAACCACCCCTCAATATAAAATAGAAAAGTTCTTAATAGCCTTAAATTTTTCCAGTTAGTCTACAACATAAATAGAGTCAATTTTATGGTTTTTGGTCATCTATGTTGCTTTATTTCCCAGACCCAGACCATGACTAGGCCCGAAGAGTGGTTGTGAGGTGAAAGCACATGTCTCTGTGAATCTTGGTTATCAGTGACTATTTTTTCAGTGATTTGTAAAACATTAATAAGCCACATAGTTAGATAACAGGGGACTGTGATTGTGTTCTTTTTCCTTTAGATCTAGAACTGGACTACCTCACTGCATAGTATTAATAACATCCCACAATGGGTAGTGCAAATATTAAGACAATATTTGTGTTATCTACTCAAACAGTGTCCATTAGATTCACATTCCCTGAATTCCCCTTGAACTGAGTGATTATAGGATGTTCATCCTATCAAATAATTAAACCAAAATTGAATCTTTGCAGTTATTTCTCTCTTTCCCCACTATTCCTTCACCTGTCAAATCTGAACCTTGGAAAATTATCAATTTTCCAGTGAATGTCTATTGCCTGCACATTGACTTGGCTTCCTTTCATACTTCATATCGACATTTCCAAGGGCTCACATGATCCTTAACTCAGACTTTAACTTTCCCAATAGTCATAGATTTGATCTTGAATTCTCTTTCATGTTCAATTCCAATCACAGGATGATGATGTTATAAACAATTCTCAGGGAATCTTGTCAACATTTTGTAAAGGAAACCAAGGAAGAGGAGATGACAGAGAAAAATTGTATGTATCCTTATAACGATAGAATAGATTCATGTGAAAAAAAAAAAGAAATCTTTCCTTGATGACTGACCCTTGTAAAGAAGTAGTATACTCCCACTTTGAATGGGAAAGAGAAAAATCCAAAAACAGTAATTAAGAGAATAGATAAATTGAAAGTACAAATGACTTGAAACAACAGAAATAGCCAATTAAATATTTTTGTGCAAATGAATTAAACAACATCAGAGGCAACAACATTAATAATTGATACTTCAGAGCACTATTTTATCTTAAGCATCATAATGTCTTTACATTTGATGTACCCTATTATATATATATTGTCTCCTCAGTTAGAACATGAACTTCCTGAGAACAGGGGCCATCTTGTTTTTCTATTAGTGTCCATAGCAGTGGTGTAGTGCTTGGCACACATTAGGTGCTTAATACATACTTTTTCATTCCAGTAGGTGCTTTTACATTTTTAAAGAACATATATAATATATGTATATAATTAAATATATGTGTGTGTATGTGTATATATATATGTATATATATATATATATATATATTATATATATGTATATATGTATATATATTTCTTACTTGAGTTCCAAGAGAGGCTTGTGTGGCAAGATGACATAGTGGCCAGAGAACTGTGTCTAGAGCAAGGAAGATGTGACTTCAAATCTCACCTCAAATACTTACTAATTTTGGGGCCCTGGGGAAGTGTCTTATTGTATCTAAGCCTCTTCTGTGAAATGAGGATGGACTCATACCTACCCTCCCGGGGTGGTTGTGAGGTTCAAAGTAAGATTAAAAGTAGAATATGATTTCACAACTTTAATGTGCTTTATAAACATGGACTATCACACCATTACATTTTTATTATGAACTCACACATTAAAAACATGTTTTATATACATAACAAAGTAAGAGAGTATTCTGTATAGAACTATGAATCTTATATTGTTTTCATCTAAAAAAAATTATTAAGTTCTATGTTGACCTCCTAAGTTCTCTTAGACTAGAAAAAAGTCTCACCTGACCTTTTTCTTTTCACTCTGCCATTCCAGAATTATATTTGATGCATTATTTTGAAATTGGTTGGAGAGGAATGTAAGGAGAATTTTGCTGGATTGCTTCCTCTACTTTGCCATCTTTTCTCTGCCCCTTTTCTTTCACTCTTACTCTTGCTTGTTTTTGCTTGCTGCTTGTTCTTTGTTCCTGAAGAGGACTATGACATGAGGAAAAAGATGCCATGACTTGCAAGTGAATTGGGTTTAAGTGAGGTAGGCAGGGGTGTGCAAAGTCACCAGCTTCACTTTCTCCTCCAGAGCCATCTGGGTCCAGTGGCTAGATAAAGATCAGGACAACTGGAGATGGCCGAGGATGCAGTGGAGGACTTCAGCTTTTTCAAGCTAAGGTCTTTAAGAGGTCTCAGTTTTTTTTTTAAAGAAGCTATTCTCCTCATTTCTTATTAAGCCTTTGCTGTCTATGTAGTATCAAATAGGGAACCACTGACAGTTTCTGAACAGAGAGTTAAATGATCATCATACTTGTTCATTCTTTTGTTAATGCTTTTGCGCATATGATCGATTGTGGAGGAAAAGATTTTCAGGTAGAGATTCTTGTTTGGGGGCTATTTAAGAGCTAAATTAAATACTTCTTTATTAACTAATTGCTGTGTAGAAGAAACTGTGATAAATGTTCTGGATACACAAATGATAATTAACACAGTCCTCTGTCCCCAAGGAACATGTAATTTAATATACTGCATTGATCTTTATTGCCTTCCAAGTTATTAATGATTATATAAAATTGCTATGTGTATACATGACATAATATTAACAACATATTATATA